AAAAATTCTAAAAAAATTAAGTTTTTTTTTTTTTTTTTTTTTTTTTTTGGTTTTTTTGAGACAGGGTCTTACTATGTAGTTGAGACTGACCTGGAACTCACTATGTAGCCCAGGCTGGTTTCGAACTTACAGTGATCCTCCTGCCTCAGCTTCCCGAGTGCTGGGATTACAGGTGTGTGCCGCCACACCTGGCCACAAGCACTTATTTTGCCTGTTCTATGTACATTTATGGAAACTTACCAAATAATTTATGGGAATTTTCTCTTTAGGTAAGTATTTTAGCTAATAAGCTAAGAAGTAATAAAAGAATGACAATTAGCCTTCTGCAATCCATCATTAATTAACAGATACAGGCAGTGGCCTGTAGTTACTGATTCCATTACAATTTACAGGAAATAAATACAGGGACAAAGAAACAAGCTGAATACCACCTCAGCAGCAGCAAAATCCTAAAAACTCTTTAGGGCAAACCACATCATTGTTTTAAAAAAGGAAGGTATTAGGGGCTGGGGCTTTAGCTCAGTGGTTCCACTGCCTGTCTCGAAACCATAAGGACTTGAGTTGGATCCCCATCCCCGGCACCAAAAATAAATGAATGAATGAATGAATGAATGAATGGAAGGTATCACAGATGAAAAGAGATTTAAGAGACTATTAATCACTACCATCTTTTTATCTTTTTTTTTTTGTTTCCATACCGGGATCAAACTTGGGACCCTGCACTTGTGAGACAGGTGGCAGAACCACTGAACTAAATGCCCGGCCCTCACTACCATCTTTTGACCAAAGAATCTTGATTCAAACAAATAAACTAAAAAACAAAGCAAAACAAAACTCCAACAAGTAATAGTTGAGGTAACTTTAATAACCTAACGTACTACACCTTTTCCATCGTAGAGTGCAAGCCCTGAATTCTCCAACTCAGCCTCCTTGAGCCACCCTGGTGGGTATCCGAGCTGGCGCATCCGATAGATAAAAGGGGGGAGACTCTTGTCTGTCACGCCAAGTGCATCTTGAAGCTCCTCACTACATAAAAAGAAGAGGGAAAGTACACTGGATTCCCGCTTGAGGACATACAGTGCACTGTGTTGTAAAACGTTTCAGTCTCATTTCCATAGCATGGAACACGGTGCCTAGCACACACAGTGTTAAGAGTTCAATACGGGGCCAGGGTTTGGCTCAGTGGTTCCATAGGTTACCTCGCAAGCTCAAGGGCCTGAGTTCGATCCCCAATACCAAAAAAAAAAAAAAAGGGTTCAATACAGTAAGTCTTTTGAGTGACTTGATGATTACCAAGGCTCGAGAAAGCGCGCTTTCATCCTGATAGTTGTCTTGGAAAGCTACACTGAGGAAGTAAAAATGACAGCTGATGGTGACATGCAGGGAATACCTGATAACGCCTGGCTTGAATCTTCCGAATCTTTCTTCTACTTCTTCTGCATGGTAACGCTGCTGAAAACTCTGATTGTTTGCCTCACTGCAGGCATCCATGTACTCTTTTCTCTTTTCACTTATTCGAGCAGCATTCCGGGGCTAAATCATCATATGTTTAAAAAGAATGGTATTAAGCAATTTAGAGACATCTCAGAAATTAAAAATAATCCCTTCTCTTTTAGGTAAGCAAACTTTTAGTTTTCTGTTTTTCCTTTTTCTATTTTAGTTTCTGATCCCCACCCCCCAACCACACTGGGGATTGAACTCAGGACTTTGTGCTTGTGAGGCAGGCACAGTACCATTGAACCTATTTTAGTTTCAATATATAACACTGTCATAAAGGAAACAGATATTTTTTGAAAAGTGAGCAAGAGGACAAGCAGTCACTTTAATTTCCTTAATTTTTTTGGTTTTTCTTTGTGCTTTTTTGAGACAGGGTCTCACTATGTAGTTCAGGCTGGCCTCAAACTTGCAGTGATCCTCCTGCCTCAGCCTCTTGAATAGTGGATTACAGGCCTATGCCACCACATCCAGTTTTCAATTCCCTTAATTTCATCTCAGTGTTATGATTTAAAATCAACCTTTAAGCCGGGCATGGTGGCGCATGCCTGTAATCCCAGCACTCAGGAGGCTGAGGCAGGAGGATCGCTGTGAGTTTGAGACCAGCCTGGGCTACATAGTGAGTTCTAGTTCAGTCTCAACTACATACCCTGCCTCAAAAAACCAAAAAGAAAAAAAACGCATAAAAATAAAAATAAATAAATAAAATCAAACTTTTAGAATAAACTGTATAAAAATTAACTCATGACGTTTTATCTCAAATATAGGTAGTACTATAATTTTTTAAAAATTTAATGTCTTAAAACATACAAATTTGCAAAGATTTCAAGTTAGAAGACAACAAGCAAGTAACACAAGTTTCTTCACACTGCACGATTCTGTAAATGTATAAAAGACAAGCTCTGGTTCAAAGACTTTTTTGGTTTTTTTTTTTTTTTTTTTTTTTTTGGTACTGGGAATTGAACTCGGGTCCTTGCGCTTACAAGGCTTATGGTGGCACCAGTGAGCTAAATCCCCATCCCACAAAGACTTTTTTTATAGGAAAGAAATTTACCATCGGGCAATCTTTCATTTGATGTTCTTCAGAACCACAATTGAAACAGTGAGGCTTTGGCCTATGTGGGAAAAAAAAAGGGTTTTCATAATGTAAATGAAGACATAAAAATAAATCTATACATTCTAGATGACAGCAAAGTATGAGAGACAAGAAAGCAAGAGGATCACAGATCACTATCATCTGCAGTAGGGGCACAGACACCTCCCGTACTTAGTGAGTGAAACAATAGCACTGTGCAGTCTTTTAACCAAGAACCATCCAATTCCTCACTGATCTGCTACCTCTTTTGAGTTTTTCAGTGATTAAAAACAGAAGTGTGGTGCACAGATCACATCTCCTCTCGGTGACACGGAAAGAAGGCAGATGGTTAGAAGACAGCAGCCACAGGGGCAGCAACGATTACTTCTCTCCACCCTCCCGGGCACATCAGGTGTGAACCAAGTAATCCCAAGAAACACAGGACTGGTTTCAACACGTAATATATGTCCAGATGTTGGAATTTCAGCTCAGTCTGTGATTTACTTTATAGTAAACCAGCAATAAAGAATATTAACTTTGCAAGCTAAAAGATTTTATGGTTTTGGTATTTAAAAAACGAAAAGAATAAAACAAAACAACTCCCCACACAAACCTTTTTGCCTTTACTTGTATCTCTTGCCCTTCTAGAGAAACAATGTGGCTGAAGACTTGCTGGTACCTTTAGTGAGTTTTATTAAGGAATAGTTATCATAGTCTGCAAATTTGGTAAACTTTTTAAAAAGGTGAACTTAGTGGCAAGATGCATAAAAGATCTTCATTCACTATGTAGGATACTTGGGTATTTCCCATCCTTCGGTTAGCTGAGGGTTTTCATTTAGAAGCGGTTGCCCCAATTTATCAAGGCAAAAATTAGTAAAATACAGGACACTTCCTACAACCTGCAGAAAACAAGTCAAAAAATATTGCTATTTAAGTAGAAAAAAAAGACATTAAATAATGTAAGACTATGATTACTTGTTTTAACAACTTATTTTTGGATGAAATTATTAGAAATAATAATCAACTCCCTAGTTAAAAGAGCCAGATTTTAATGTGTAAGTAAAAGCTCTATCTGAGTTTTCTTTCCATACTGGATCATTGCTATCAACTGCACTCTCAAACAAAAATAAAAATCTTGACTCTCACACAATTCTCCAGTACTCCACTTCTTTGCAGCAAGACCCTGTCTGTTTATTATTTTCATTTCCTTTGTTTCTGTTTACCCTTTTCTCTTCCCACCAAACTTCTGGAGAAATTATACACAGACAAGTTGGAAAAGCAGTACAATGAATAACTTGGGCACCTTTCACCTACATTCGACAACTGTTAATAGTTTCTCACATTTCTGTGCACGCTCTTTACACACACTTTACTTAGCCATCTGGAGGTCAGTTGTAGATATTTCCTCCCTAAATACTTCAGTGTGAGCCTCATGTCGGTAGAACATTCTTTTACAAACCACAATAGCCACACCCACAAAAACAACTCTGGTATCATCTGTTTCTACTCCCTATTATTTTTCCCAACTGTCTCCTAAATGCCTTCTACAGATTATTCTAGGATTTGACTAAGGCTCCATTTTTAGTACCTCCTTCTCCCTTTGTGGTACTGGGATTGAACTCAGGGTCTCATGAATTCCAAGCAAGTGTTCTACTGCTGAGCTATACCCTAGCCTTATTTTATCTTATTTTTATGGTACTGGGGATTGAACTCAGGCTCTTGTGCTTGCGAGGAAGGTGGCAGAACCACTGAGCCAAATCCCTGGCCCTGGGGATTGAACTCAGGCTCTTGTGCTTGCGAGGAAGGTGGCAGAACTACTGAGCCAAATCCCTGGCCCTATTTTATCTTATTTTACTTATTTCTTTGCATTACTGATGATTCAATCCAGGGCCCTCACAATGAATGACATCCCAAACTCTCCCTTACTTTTATTTATTCTGAGACAGGGTCTCACTAAGTGGCTAAATTGTCCAGGATGCACTTAAACTTGCAATTCTCCTGCCTCAGCCTCCCAAAGTGCTGGGACTACAGACATGCATCTCCACACCTGGCTCTCAGCCCTTTTGTTTTGAGATAGGGTGTCACTAAATTACCCAGGTTGGCCTCAGACTTGTGATCCTCCTGCCAAGCTCCTGAGCAGCTGGGATTATAAGCACATGCTACTGCATGTAAACCTTTCTAGTCTCTTATATTTGCCCCGTTTTTAAAAACAGGAGCCTGTCATTCTCTCCAGAATGTCCCTAGTAACACTGACACTAAGCCAGTTGCCTGGGATCACAGCAAGGACTCCCACACAGCCAAATTCAATGAGCAGCTGTTGGTCTTCATCTCATTCAACCTGTCAGCAAAAGTAGACAGAGCTGACTCTTCCTGTTCTCAGAAACGCTTTCTCCTGTGGCTTCCAGAACACCAGTGTCCCCATTCTCTTCCTGCCTCACTGGCCAAGCCTCAGCTTCTGTGATGATCTCTCTCTCTCTCTCTCTCTCTCTCTCTCTCTCTCTCTCTGTCTTTTTTGGTACCAGGGATCCAACTCAGGCCCTTCTACTTGCCAAGCAGCTAAATCCCTGGCCCTGTGCTGATTTGTCTTTAACACTGGTGGGCCATCGGGCAGTCTTTAGTCTCTCCTCTCAGCCCCTAGGGGAAGCACCAAGACCCAAGGTATGACTGTGATCTATGCTCTGACCACGGTCGGGGAGAAGCTCTGTTCCCATCCACGTTCCAGCCTTGTAGGTGTGAGCACCGACAAGACAGCGCTCCCTGCCAGGAAGGGGCACCCATGCCTTCCCACACACTTAAAGCCACACTAGACTTGCAGCCCGCGCCAAACCGCTCCTTTCCACTGTTCCCCTCAGAAAAGGCAGCAATGCTGCCTTGGCTACACAGGCCAAAGACCTGTGTCGTTCTTTTAGGGATGGAACCCAGGGCCTTCACACTGAGCTACATTCCCAATCACTTTTTATTTTGAGACAAGGTTTCACTAAGCTGTTCAGGCTGGCCTCAAACTCATGGCGGTCCTCCTGCCTCAGCCTCCCACAGTACTGGGAAAATGTGCAGGTAATACCTATGTCATACTGACCCCTCTCTTGGTCTCATATTCTACAGCCAACTCATCAACACATTCGAGCAGTTCTTCTTTCCTGTCACATCCAGCTCTGCCCACTCCTCATCACCATCGCTGACGTGGTCTGAGCTATCATTTCTCTCACCTGAGATTAACATAACAGCTTCCTAAAGGGTTTCCATTTTCCATACATAACCAACTACTACTTTCCACACAGAATCCAGTTCTTTTTGATATTCAAATCATACTAGGTGTGGTGGAGCACACCTGCAATCCCAGCACCTGGGCTGAAGCAGAAGGATCGTCATGAGTGAGTTTGAGGCCTGCCAGGGCTACATGATGATGATAATGATAATGATAAAAAACTCAAGTCACAGCATGTCACCTTTCTACTTAAAACCTTCCACTGGCTTTTCCTCTTACCTAGAGTAAAATCTACCATGAAGAAGGCCCCCTTAGTCTGGAGTCTGGAGACTACAGCCTGGCTTCACACCCAGGCTCTGTGCTTGTCCACTAGCATGTTTCCTAGCTTCCCATGGCTGCTTCTCCGTCTTGGGACGGGAACAACAGCGGTGCCTGCGGAGCAACAACTGTCCTGAACCCACCACTCCACACCAGCAACGGCACGCAGTAAGCAGTACGACTGGCCGGCTCCCCGCCGCTGGCTTCCACTTCCCTTTCCTGCGATCTGAAGCCCTCTTCGCTCAAGCTGCAGCCTCAGCTCCCTCAATTCATCCAATCCTGGCTCCAAGGTTGTCACCAAGTGCTCGCTACACAATCCACCTATTTTCTCCTTACCCTGCTTCACTTTTCTTTTGAAGGCACTGCCTTCTCCCACTAGATCCCACTAGAATGTAATTCAACGAGACCTAGGACTCTGCCCTCTGTCTTCACTGCTATGTCCCTGGAACTTAGAATGATTCCTTACACAAAATGGCATCCATTAAACAATTAGCATAGCATTTATTAAGGGACTAAATTAATATATAAAATTCTCAATTTCTATGTATGTGTCACTTTAAATACATAAACTTCAAAGCTGGAAGAGAAATGAAAAGTTACCAAGTTCAATTCAAAATCTTTTTTGGTACCAGGAATCAAACTCAGGACCTTGTGTTTGCAAGGCAGGCACAGTGCCAATGAGCTAAATCCCCGGCCCCCTCAAAATCTTTCTTTAAAGAATCCTGAAAGTATCCTAGCCTGCAAGTTCTAGGAACACGGAATTGACTTTTTGAAAATGAGACATACTACTTTACTTTTAGGAATTAAAAAAAATTTTTTTCCAGTGCCAGGCATTGAATCCAGAGCCTCGTATGCGCCAGGCAAACGCTGAACCACTGAGCTACACTCTCAGTGCAGCGGTCTAACAGATGACTTGAGTTGTACCTCTTCATCTTCAGTTCAATCACTCATCCTAATCCTGCCACTTAGCACTGCAAGGGGAGACCTCTGACAACCTTCATCCTATTTGCAGAAATGCGACACTGCTTGTAAATGTTTTCAAAAAAGTTTGTGGCTGTTCACAATCCCTGAAGCCCCATGACTTTAAATTTGAGGCATACTGACAATGAATACCCACAAAACTTGAAAGCTAGTCCTCCTTTAATAGGATCCAGGACTACAGTGCCCTCGTAAAAATACTGTAAACTGCAAAACCATACACTATATTGATACCGGCATAAATGGTACTGAAAGGCCTAAATGTACTCACGCCTCTGAAGCTTCTACGCTGTACCCGCCAGTGGAGTTGGTCAAATGTTAAATCCCAAGCATGCCATTTGATACAATAGCTACCTGTCTATTTCATCCATCTGCAAGTTCAACAAATACACTTTCGATATCTCTATTCAAGTTCTTGAAGATAAACACGAACAGGTGGTTAGGACAAAACTAAGCTCTCTCAAAGAATGTCTACAGGGCCCCCACCTCACAATTAGTTATTAAAAAGTGAACAATATTTAGAGGCTGAAGTCTATGTTACTGTTTATAACAAAAGAACACTGAGATCATATGAAAACACATGACTATGCCACTTTATCATTTCAACACCACCCAACTGATAATGGATAGGAATCATGCATCTGTAGAGTTCAAAAATAAAATGTCCACACTTACACTAAAAGCTTCCTTGCTGTTTTTAATGGTATAGGACTCTTCTACTTTATGGTCCTCTTCCAACATAATACTGGATGGCTGCGACAAGAGAAACACACGTTACAAACAACTCCTTTTATTTCCTAATATACATCTGAATTTTGTCATAATTGGGGTGAGTTGGAAGTTAAGGTAGGAATGTTAGTAAAAGACTTTTCAAAAGTGGGCAAAAAAGGTATCGAGAGGTAGCTTCTTCTAAAGCATTATGATGTGGTTGCGGCTTTTGTGTTAATCAGTGTTGATTATGAAACTTTAGTTTACACTGGCAAGGCATTTATCTTCAAAATAGATAACCAGAAAGATACTTAAAAAATTAACAAATCAATATCACTAGTCAGTACAGATAAAATGGCTTTAATAAGTCACAAGCAAAGGTTTTGGGTTTAATCTCCAATACCACCACCAAAACTTTTAAGCTTTCCTGAAGCCAATGTGGTGGCACATGCCTGTAATCCCAGCACCGGGCAGGACGAGGGAGGCGGAACATGAGTTTGAGACCAGCCTGAGGCATACAAGGAAATTCTGTCTCAGAAAAACCAAATGATGAAAAGAAATCCTGGGGGCCAGGGATTTAGCTCAATGGCACTGTGCCTGCCTCTTAAGTGCAAGGTCCCAAGTTTGATCCCTGGTACCAAAAAAAAAAAAAAAAGGCCTAGAAATCACAATACTGATTTATACATATATAAACCCATGCTCTAATATCACAGATGTGTCAGATCTCTTTGGACATTCTATTTATTTATTTTAAACAAGGCAAGGGGAAAAAACGATGGGACATAATAAATTCTGTTGATCTTTTATTCTTTTCAGTACCAGGGGCTTGCATTTGTGAGGCAGGCGCAGCACCACTGAGCTAAATCCTTGGCCCTCTGTTGGTTTTGCTTCTTTAAAAATCCATCTTTTATAAACCTCTGGTATACAGAGTTTTTCTGCCCAAAACCATGCGCCCATTTAGGAAAAGCAGCCAGGTGTGAACATGAATGTGAACAAAGCAGCTGCAGCCCCAGGAGGCCAGCAGAGGCCAAGGTAGACTTTGGAGATGGCAGCAGGCAGCAGCTAGAAGGTGACAGGCAGCAGTAGCAATCACTTTGGTTTGGATTCAAGACCATCTCTTTAGCCTAATAATTGGCAGCACAAAGCATAACCTACTCATCTTTTTTTTTAAATAACCTACTAATCTTAAAGTCTCTTAAATGTAAACTACCTGGGGCAAAAGATTAAACGAAGTCTTTTCCACATCGTTTTTCTGCTGTTCCTCAAATCTTTTTACTAAATTTGATACAAATTCCTCTATTTCTTGATGATATTGCCTGTATAAGAGGACAAAATGATCAGAATGCACACAAAGTAAGGCATTTCATATATTAAAATCTTATGCATTATTGTAAAGTGTCATGTCTTAATTTTATTATTTTGTTTTCCAGGGGTTTATCAAACTACTATAATTGTTGCAAAGTTAACAAAATGATTACAATAATCTAACAACCTGTTTGGCATTGAACAGTTGCCAAACAGTTGTGAAAATAAATGCATTTTCTTTATGAATTCTATGCATTGAATCTTTGAATATTATGTGTAAATGGCTCAAAATCCAAAAGAAGTAAAACTGTTGCACAACAAAAGGCTTCCTACTCCATCTCCCTCTAACCTATTTCTGCAAATCAAAGATAATGCATTCAATTCTTCCATATTCTCCTCCCAGACTCTTTACATACAGATAAGAGAACATCCATTTAATAAGAAACTCAAGTATCAATGAAAACCAAAATACAATACAGGTATAAGAAAAAAACCCACAAGCTCTATTTTTTCTAGTCCTCCGGGTGAAGAACCACACAGATCAAATGATTTGCAGGGTTCCCTTAGGTGCTGTCCAAGGAGCCCAGGTATGTGACACTATAGCTGGAAGCCAGGACACCTCATGCTCAGCTTCCTTCTCTCCTGATGCTCTCCCAGGCCTTTCCTAACTCTAACATTCTAAGATTTTTGCAGGCAGAATGGCAGACAAATGGTACAGAAATCAGTACATTCTCCGGAGCTGGACTATAAATACCATTTCTCATGTGGAGGGGACAACCGTGCCAAGGGCCAGTTAGTTGTACCTAGCAGCTTGCTGCAGCTGCAGTCACCTCCCAGCTTCCCCACCTTCAGAGCCTTGGGTTCTACTTCTGTGGAAATAAAGTGGGTTATGACCCGGCACCTGTTACCTTTCTCTTCTCTGTAGTGGCTGCACATGAAATAACAGCATGACTTAATGACTAGGGAGAGGCAAGCGACTGTGAAATATCTACAACCATGCCCTACAAGGGGACAGAGCAGAGCCTCAAACCACCCCAGAACATTCTAGCAAGCCTGCCAGAAGGCACCAAGTCAACAAACTCACGCATGCTGGAAGGCTTGCAAACGTCTGCTTTTGTTATTAAAAGAAAAATCCTCATGTAGGTATGTTTTGAAGGCAGCCCATGTGAAGGCCTCCATTACCCATGCTAGGAAAGGAATGGCTACCATTATTATGTTGTTATGGTGGTAGTGGTTATTTTAATTAGAAGTGATTTATTGGGCTCTTATAGCTGCTCATTTAATCACTTAGCAGTAAACACTATGGGTATATTGTTCTCCAGAGAGGGAAACTAATGACACAGAAAAGCTTTAAGACCTTTCCAGGTTCACAGATGTAGAAAACAGCAGTCCAGAAGTTCAAATTCAGATCTGAATGACTCCCATGTCCTTGATCTTAAATTGATCTCATAAACTTTAAAGATGATATAGGTACAAATGAATACAAATGGAAGACATTGTTTCATAATTACATTAACTCATCATAATCAGGAAAGGAAAAATATTACTTACTTTGAAATAACATTGTTCATAAATAGAATCTGCAATAAAGGTCCATCTAATTTAATATTGTTCACCAATATTCCACTAAAACAAAAGTTAAAACATATTCTTAGAAGAAATTAAAGTAAAACTTACAAATGTACATACAGACTATATAGTCACATAATTTTTATAATATTTTGTTTGAGACAGGTTATCACAATGTAGTCCAGCATCGCTGCTGTGGCCTTGAACTCACAGCAATCCTCCTGCCTCAGCCTCCCAGGTGCTGAGATTATAGGCCTGTGCCATAACACCTAGCCTAAAAATTTTATCTAAATGATTTTATTTCACCTAATTCTTTGGTTTTCTGTGAAATGCTTTTACTAGTCAGAGAATATGGAGGATATTAATCCTAAAAAATACAAATAAAACAATTTACTTCTTTTTCATATTGATGCATCCTCTTATAAACTGGCAAAATCCTTGCTGTAATCATTCAGAAGCAAGTGATTATCACCCCTTTTGAGATAAATATTTTCTGTTTAAATCATGAATTGCATTAGAAAAGACATGCTTATCAATATAGAATATTTAACATAAAAATTAAAAATTTTATTAAGAATCCAAATAGTCAACACTTTTTTTTGGGGGTACTGGGGATCAAACTTGGGTCTTTGCGCTTGCAAGGCAGGTAGTAGAACCACTGAGCTAAATCCCTGGCCCTCAACACTTTTAATATCTAACCTGAAATGGGTTTACATATACAAAGTATGCTCCCATAGAGGAAAGTTGACCTTAAACACTTCCAAATTCTAGGCAGGAAGCAAAACCACTGCCTAATCCCTGGCCCTTAACACTTCCAAATCCTAAAATCCCAGCTCTCATTCAAAATGCAGCCAGCTGTTCTAGCCAGCACTAGAGACAAAAAGTGCAGGTAACTGACATCATGCCCTCCTCCAATTCCAACAGCTTGAGAATAACACTCCACACAATAAATGTGTACTTTTTTTTGGGGGGGTGGTTGAGACAGGGTCTCACTATGTAGTTGAGACTGACCTGGAACTCACTATGTAGCCCAGGCTGGGCTCGAACTCACAGTGATCCTCCTGCCTCAGCCTCCCAAGTGCTGGGATTACAGGAGTGTGCCACCATGCCCAGCTAATAAATGTGTACTTTAACAAGTAAGTTTAATGTTAAATAAATTCATACTAAATACTAGCATTTGATTTGTTAAAACCAGATTCCTGAAGGCAAACCTATACACTGTACTTATTTTTTCAAAAGCATTTTCTTCTAAAACGTTGCTTCTTGCAATTGTTTGTACTTGTCAACACATTTTAATTGTCAATAAGTTTTCAGCTACAGTAATATTGTAAACTTAACTCAAACTTGCCAGAAATGTTCACTGAAAGGGAATTACCTAGGCTGACAATTTATCCAGTTGCTCTGATATATTCAGTCAAGCCTTTCTGGATAGTGTCTCACCAATATTTTCGCTCAGTAAAGAGTTCAAATTTAAATGTTCAAAAGTTTAAGGTACTTCTGAAAATTCAGATTTTAGTCCCAAAATTTAAGAATAAAAAGTGATTACTCTGATTCCTTGAGAATATGCTAAACAAACGACAATGACACAAAAATCCTATAACCATTTTACAAAGAAACTGAGATTAAACATTAATATCCAAAAAAGAAAAAATTAATATCCAGATAAATAATACAGTAAAGGACAACTGTGGTATAATTTCAAGATCTCATACCTCGGTCGAGTCAGAATGTTCAGTTTTCTTTTAAGTTCCTGATGTTATTACTTGTTAAGGAATATTAATACTCATCCTGCCATAACGTTCAACGTTACTGTGACTCTCATTTTTGGCATCAGAATGTTGTAAACATAAAAGAATCCCAAATATTTTGAAGATGATACACCTGTTCATTTACAAGCCAAGACATTCAACCTAAAAACCAAAAATATAGTTTTCATCTCTTTGAACGTATTTTCTAAGACATGATACTAATGTTCAAAAGAGACAAACAGACTAAACCAAAAATGTTATTCAAACCACGGTATCCCTGGCATAAGTTTAAACATCCAATCAGGAAAGTTTTCCAAGTTAAAAGCATCACAAGTGTTATGTAACTGCAGCCTAACAAACGACAACAGAATGGAAATCTATGAACGCTCACTGTACAGTTCTTTCAACTTTTTTTGTATTTCCAACTTTTTGATAATAAAACGTCAAGGAAATTGGTATCAAAAAAAACATCAGACTTCAAAAACCTTAAAAGCTTTCTCAATACTAATCACTTTTAGGGTTCTTTACAAATGTTAAAAGGAAAGGGGGCCGGGGATTTAGCTCAGTGGTGCTGCCGCCTGCCTCACAAGCGCAAGGTCCCAAAAAAGAAAAAGAAAAAGAAAGATAACTGAACCAGAATTATCTATGCTTAAGTGATTTTTAAAACCCTGAGAACGTACATTAACTTAGTAGCAAATCCAGAAAATCTGTCATCGTGCCAATTTATTTGGCGCGTTTTCCTTAAACCACTTCTACGCAAGCTAGCTCAAAAACTCTGAAATTAGCTCTCAATCTTGAGCATTAACCGTTTCCCGTCGCAAGCCCCGATACCCAAGACACCCAAGTTTGCATCCTAACATCACCAGCGCCTGCCCCACCATAAAAACTGATGCAAGCCCTTGGCATCCAGTGTTTCCTAACATACAGCTGTGTCACGAGTGCCACCACTTGAGCTTGGCTGCAACGAATGAACTGGAATAATGACCTCAGAGAAAGAAGTGGGACCGGTCTGCAATCACTGTAATAGACGGCACCCCCTAGGGCCGGAGGAGTGGACCTGGTTCCTGGTAGCAAAGTGGTTTGCGGGCAGGCCCGGGGGCAACTCGCACAACCCGCACCCACACTCTCGGCCCAACTGCAGAGCGAGAGAAATGACTTCAAATTCGGGTCCTCCCGGAACTGCTGCCGTAGCCCACGGCGCGGGTGACAGGGCCCGGCCTGCCGGAAGGATATTCTCGGCGCGGAGCTGCTCGATGGTCTCCTCGCACTGCCGAAGCCGCTCCCGCAGCTCCGCGTCGTCGCCCCCATTCTCGACCTCCTCCTCGTGGCCGTCGTCGTCCTTAAAGCGGGTGTGAACGGGTTTCGGAGTCGACTCCCCTGAGGGGTCAAACGCCTCGAACAGCTCTAGGTCGCCAAAATCCACTTCCGCCGCCATTTTGGGTGGTGGGAAAGATTAGAGGAGAGGCGGAGCCCGCTGCGGGAACTGGGGACGAAGGTTGTAGGGCGGCACCACCGCTTTCTACCGCTCCGACCCGCGCTGAGATACCGGGTAGAGTTTTCTCCAAACGCGGGCCGCCACAACCGCACCAGGGGCGGGGCCAATGATGAGAGACTACAGCTCCCAGAATGCAACGGCGCTTGTCGCGTCCATTCCAAGATTGCCTAGGATCCTGGTTTGCTGAGACTCGTGGTTTCTTAGCGACTCTTAACTCATTGTTTGCATTGCATGCCGGGATTGGTCATTTTTTAAAGTGAGGAAAGCCTGACTGGATGAGAACGCGTTAAAATATGGATTTTCCCTCCTGTTAGGCAACTAAGGCTGAAGAGTCTGCCCAACTCTTGGCTTATTACAGATTCTGGTGTGTGGGCTAAACAGTAACAAGAAAAAGGATCTTCAGCCAGGCGTGGTGGCGCACGCCTGTAATCCCAGAACTTGGGAGGCTGAGGCAGGAGGATCGCTCTGAGTTCAAGAATAGCCTGGGCTACATGGTGGGTTCCAGGTCAGTCTCAACTACAGAGTGAGACGCTGTCTCAAAAAACAAAACAAAACAGGATCTTCACCTTTGCCATAGACTACCTTGTGATCTTTAGCTAGTTTATTGGGCTTTTCTTTTCTATGTAAAATTAGCTAAGTAATTAACAATTTTAAATCTGTCTGCCGAACGTGGCTGGCACACGCCTGTAATTCCAGTAATCAGGAGGATGAGGCAGAAAGATCGCGTGAGTTTGAGGCCGGCGCAATCTACATAGTTCAAGGCCAGCCCGGACTGCATAACGGGACCCTGCCTCAAAAAAACAAAAAAAATTGGGCCTGGTATTTAGCTCAGTGGCACTGTGCCTGCCTCACAAGCACAAGGTCCTGAGATTGATCCTTAGTATTAAAAAAAAAAAATTTTTTTTTTTTTTTTTTTTATGAGGCCTGTGTTTTTTTATGCTAGTTCACTCTAACATTTACTCATAATGTGTCAGGTACTTCTTGCTCTCAATAACGCTTGTACCAAAGCCCAAGAAACAACAAAATCTTTATAATGATAGATTTTCTGCTTTTCAGTTGAGCTGGGTGTTGAGAATTATTCCTCACATTAATGGGGGAAAATACAGGAAATTGGCGGGTATGGTAGAGCAGGCCCGTAATTACAGCACTCATAGGAAGCTGAGGCAGAAAGATATCAAGTTTGAGCCCAGCCTGGGAAAATTAGCAATTTAGTAAGAACCTGACTTTAAACATTAATACTGAGGGAGCCAGGGATTTAGTTCACTGCTTCCATCCCTGCCTCGCAAGCAGAAGGACTAAGTTCAATCCCCAGTACCAAAATAAAGCCTGAGGCCTGGGGATTTAGTTCAGTGGTACTGCTGCCTGCCTCACAAGTGCAAGGTCCTGAGTTCGATCCCCGGTACCAAAATAAATAAAGCCCCAAAATAAAGCCTTGGATATAGCTCCATCCCCAACACCCCTCCCCCCGACAAAGGTCCGGGGTTGAGAGTATTTAAGAATGGAATAAAGAACATTGTAAAATGTTCTCAATAAAATGGCATGTGGAATGGAAAGGCAGAATATGTAGGAGGAGGGTGGAGCATTATTAGGCCAGTAGCCCAAACTGTGAGATCTTTTCCTCGATTTCTTTTTTCCCTATTTATTTTTTTGAGACAGGGTCTTGCTATGTAACTCAGGCTGGCCTCAAACTCTCAGCAATCTCTCTGCCTCTGCCTCCTGAGTGCTAGGACTGCAGGCATGTGCTGCCACGCGTGGCTCATTAAACTTTTTTCTTTTTTGGTACCAGGCATCAAAGTCAGGACCTTGCACTTGCGAGGCAGGGGCAGTGCCACCGAGCTAAATCCCTGACCCTCATTTAAACATTTTGAACAGGTGGTGTGTTTGTAACCACCAAGTTTTCATTTTGGTAAGATGCACCTGATTTAAAGGGTAGAGAACAGATTGGAGATAGAGCAAGAATGAAATTCTGAGGCTACTGGACGGTGATAGATTTTTGTACTTGTGTTAGCTAAATAAGTTTTCACTTGGGGCTAGGGATGAAACGCAGCGGCAGTGGCAGTAGCAGGGTGCTTGCCATGCAGCTGGGTTAGGGCAGTGGGGGATAGTGATGTTGAGAACATTAGTCATTTAAAGTGGAAGAGGAGGGCCAGGGATTTAGCTCAGTGGTTCCGCCACCTGCCTCGCACGCACAAGGTCTCGAGTTTGATCCCCGGTATCAAGAAAGAAAGCACAAGAGGGCCAGGAATTTAGCTCAGTGGTGCCTCCAATTGTCTCAAAAGTGCAAGGTCCTGAGTTCGATCCCCAGTACACACACACACACAAAAAAAGACATTTGAAAGATGAAATTAAATCAAGAGTTCTTAATGATCAGATTCTGAGTAATAGAGAAAAGAGGGCCATATATAGTTTGTCAGGATTTTGACAAACTGGTTGAGCAAATGGGTCCAACTGAGAACAATGGATATAGATCAAGTTTGGGAGCAAAGGTTCTATTTTGTGCTTGGTAACCTAAGTCAATTTTGTCTTGAAAAGTAATAGAGAAGTTGCTGGACAAACTTGAAGATTTTTTGTTTTGTATTGTTTTTGAGATAGGGCTTTGCTATATAATTCAAACTGAATTGTGTAGCCCAGGTTGGCCTTGAACTCATGGCGATGCTCCTGCTTCAGCCTCCTCAGAACTGGGATTAACCAGCATGTGGGACAGCTGGCAGATACTTTTCATACACTTTGGTCAGACATCATTGGGATACTGAAAGACTGGGGGTCACAGTGGACATGTTTAGGCAGATGGACCTTTGGTTTAAGCTTGAATAGTCTGAATTAAAGGTTAATACTTGGCTGGTCATGGCTGTAGTTCAGTGGTAAATGAAGTGCTTCTTGTAGTGCTACCACAATGAGCAAGGTTAACAATGGCAGACCCAAGATTTCATAGGCAACTGTTACAGGATGACATGGTATGAGTGTTGCAGAGGGAGAATACAGGACAAGTCTGGAGAAACTCCAAGGGCTGGGCTGAAAAGGATGACAACTACAGAAATTGATGCCTGGGTAGATGAACTAAGAGTGGGTCAGGATTGCCAAATTTGAATCCCACCTGAAAATTTACTAAGAAATGTCTCAATGGGGGGGATTTAGCTCAGTGGTTCTGGCACCTGCCTCATAAGCGCAAGTTCCCAAGTTTTATCCCCAGATCTCCCCCCCAAAAAAACAAAACCCCAAAACAAAAACCAACAAAAAATCCACACACCCACAGATATAAAGTCCTATGGATGTATTTCAGTAGTTAGAACTACCCTGGGTTTAATCTCCCAGTTATGGGTATGTGTGTGTGTAGCTTGTGGCAGTGTTGTCATGCAGAAAAGACACTGGGTTCGAGTCCTTGCACCAAAACACAAAAACACTGTTAGGGCTGGAGATTTAACTCAGCAGGGCTGCTGTCTGTTTCCAAGTGCAAGGTCCAGAGTTTGATCCCTGGTACCCATCCCCAAAACAGACACGGTTTTATTCCTATTCTTTCCTCTGTATTGTGCTCATTATGAATTATTAGTGAAAACCAAAAAAGTTAAAACCCAACTTTGCTGTAATAAAAGTAAATCAAGTTTTGTAGTTCTTCCCTCATGCCGACTTCATTAGTGACGAGACCTATTCTCTAATGTATGAGTTTACACTGCAGACTTCAAAGGGATAATGATGAGCAAAGGGCAAAGGACTTGTTATAAGGCACTTTATTAAAGTAAGTGCTTACATCCTTTAATGCATTAATCTAGTTCCTAAATCACATGGAGTATTTAACAAATACTATACACCAATTCTGTCCTTTAGGGTAGGAAACCAGTATTCTTTAATAAATGTTTGCTCCGCTAAACCCCGTTTTACATTTCTGCTCACCATGTTGTTACCTATAGAATAGTTAACTCATCTTAGGGTGGTGGAAAAAAACCCAATTTCTAACCAGTGTTTTCTAATAGCAATTGCTACAAAAATTATTAAACGAATTCAAATAAGAATACCAGGTAACTTAATTTAACAAGTTTTGAGAAAACCATTTTTATTATCATTACCACCCAGCTTATTTGTGCTGGATTATGTAGCAAATGGCCAGATCTTCTAAAGAACATCTACATAACATTTCTTTCATGTTTCAAGAGATGAAAATAACTGTACAAGGTTAAGTACAAAAGTACACAAGACAGCAGACACGAAAAGATTCATGTATGAGATTTTATCCCACCTGAAGCTTTAATATATTTGAAAAGTAGAATTCATTAACTAAAAAATATTGTCCTTCTATAGTCCTGTCAAGTTTAATGGAAGTGGGTTTAACCTGATTACAACACTAACACCAGTATCACTGATCTGATATTTACAAAAAATTGTATTTTTCAATAAATTAAAGTCAATGCAACACCCATGCAAGCTAGAATGCTAGCTGTTTGGTGAACAAGGACCTGACATCTGAACAAGAAGTCTATGAAGTCCCAAACTTTAAAAGTGTGATCTTTTTCAAACTGCATCCATTCCTCGCATTGAAGATGTGAAGCCCAGACCCATTCCTCTTTGAGTATGGGTTTGTGATCTTGCCATTTCATATTGAGCATCTAGATTTCTAAATACTTCTTCTTGTTGCTTCAATGTCTTATAACTTTCTTCATCAACTGAGCTACATCCAGCTTCGTCTTCACTCTAAATATCAGATAAAAGATATTATAATGAATTCAGAGGAGAAAAGTGGTTTTCTGTTCTAAGTATCTGACCTCAAATTACTTGGCTTCCACCCATTAACCACAAGTGGGACATAGTGCAAGACAATACATTCTTTCTAGGTATGGACTAAGAGAATGTAAAAAAAATTTACTTCAAGTTCACATGTGTGGGGGAGGTAAAGAACACACAAAGCAGATACATTAGAAGACAGAGGGCTGGGGATTTAGCTCAGTGGTGTCTCACCGGATGCACAAGCGCCAAGGTCCCGAGTTTAATCTCTGGTATTGAGAGAGGAAAAACAACAACAGCAAAAAACAAAACCAAAAAAACCACACACAAAACAAAACAAAAAAACAAAGGATTTAAAGGTAGAAATTAGGGGTGTTTCAGGAATAGGAATGCGTGGTTATTTTTGAAAAAGTACTAAAAGGAAAAGGTCAGATCCAAGCAGAGACCAGATGT